ATGGGGTATGTGGAACAACCCTTGTTCCAGTCCTACACTAGGCCCCTCCTACAACTTTCATTGGTATATCAATGACAGCTTCATGCTCCTTACTGGACCTCAAAATTTTTTCATTTTGCCTCCAATTTCCACCCCTCTATAAATTTCACATAATTCACTTCTGACACTTCCCTTCCTTTCTTTGACCCTTCCAACTCTATTTCAGGGAATAAACTGTCCACTGCTATCCATTACAAAGTCACTGACTCCCATGGCTACCTTCACTACAGCTTTTTCACACCCCACGACCTGCAAGGATTCCATCCCATTCTCCCAGTGCCTTCACCTATATCATACTGTTTGGATGATGCTACTGTCCAAAACAGCATTGCTGTCATGACTTCCTTCTTCCATAACCTTGGTTTCCCAACCTCTGTAGTTGTTAGGGCCCTCAACCACATCTAACCTATCATCTGTGCTTCTGCCCTTGCCCCTTCCCATCCCTCAATAGTGTGATTGGGTCCTCCTGGTTCTCACTTTTGTGCCACTAGCCTCTGCATTCAAAAGTTCATTGTCTGCCATTTCAGACAAGTCCAGTAGAATGCCACCACACCAAACACATCTTCCCCTCACTTCCCTGACTGAGTTTCACAGGGATTGTTCCTTCTGGGACATGCTAGTCCATTCCTTGACCACCAACACCATCCGCCCCACCCTTCCCACGGCACCTTCCCATGTTGCACCTTCTGTGGTTACACCTGCCCCTTCACCTCCCTGCAGCATTTCACCTGTACCTCCTCCAGTCTTGGGTATTGTATTCACTGCACAAATGTGATGTACTCTAAATTTGGAGAAGCTAAATGACCGCTTTGCAGAACACCTCTGGTCCATGCGCAAGTATGACCCTGGCCTTCCCATAACCACTCATTTTAACACAGTCTTCCTCACATACCCGCTTATCTGTCCTCTGTATGCTGCAATACTCCAGTGCATCACAGTGCAGACTGGAGGCACAACACCTCATCTTCGAGCTAGGCAGTTTATAACCTTCTGGCTCGTTATTGAGTTTGCTCTCGCGTTCGCTATCTCGCTCTTCCCCCACCCCACTGGAACTATCTGCTCTTTCCAATCTGGCAGTTGGAAACACCATTGTCATATTCCAATCACTTGAGCTGAACCAGCAACATCCTTTCTCCCCCAGCACTCCAACCACTGTCCCCCCGCCTCCCGCCCCACTATAGCATAAATGCTGCCCCCTTCACGCTTCATTTTAGCTCTGAAGCGTCATCTAGACTCAGTTAGCTTGCTTTCTGTTCATGGATGCTGCCTGACCTGCTGTGATCTGCAGCATTTTTTGGTTTCAGTTCTGCCATTAGTCTGTCTGCTTCTGTGACCTCTCCATTCTCTCTATGCCCTTGCTGCTTCTTTTTAATTTCACTGACTTCGTTACAAGTCTCTCTCAGCTACACTATCTGTATCTGTATGTCTGTCTGCTTCTGGAGCATCTCCAACCTCAATATCCTTTCTAATCTCGCTGTCATCCCTTCCAAGTTTCTCTCACCTCTGCCATCAGTTTATCTGTTCCTGGAACCTATCCACCCTCCACACTCTCACTGCCTTAGCTTCCAAGTCTGTTTCAACTCTGCTCTGTATCTGTCTGCTCAGAGACTGTCCTGCTCTCACTTCTGATCCTTCCTGCTTTAACTATTTCTTTTTAACATCACTGTCCTTGCTCCTGAATTAAACATTGCTGGTCTGTCTGCTCCTGTATCACTTCTCTTCCTTTCTGCTGTGTTGCCCATGTTCTTAATTCCTCAGTCAGAGTAAAGATCCTCTCAGTGCCCACCCTGCCTAACCTGTCAAATGCCTTCAGAATCTTGTATTTCAATGAGATCACTTACCTCTCATTTTTCTAAACCTATAGAGTGCAGGTCCAATTTACTCAGCCTCTCCATTACAGGATAATCATATCCAAAAACAGCAATGCATTTATGTAGCCTTTTATGTTTTAACGTAATGGAATGTTCCGAGGTGATTTACAGGAGCATTGTCAAACTGTGACAGCGAGCCACACAAGGAGACATTTGATCCGATGAACAAAAGCAAGGTCAAAGAGGAAAGTATAAGAAGTGCTTTAAGGAAGCAAAGTAAGGTGGAGAGGCAGAGATAGAGGAAGAACTTTGGGTGTAGGGAAATGAAGGCATGGCTACAATGGTTGAGTGATTTATAATTGAGAATGCCCAAGTGGCCATAATTGGAGAAGCACTGATAACCTGGAGAGTTATGGGTTTGGAGCAGGCTGGAGGGACTTGAAAACAAGATGGGAATTTGAAAATCAAGTTTATTGTTTAACTGTGGTATGGTGGTTAGTCCACTTTTGGAGAAATTGCTGAGCCATTGATAAATTCAAATAATAACTAGTTCATTACAAAATAAGGAACTATATGCAGCTTAATATGACAATGTCTGTCTTATTCTGGTCTAGAAATGACAGTGCTCCCTCAAAGTTTTTCATGTGTTTGCTGACATCATCATTATGGAGATGCATTGTGCACATCAGACATGGCCCAGTATAACCCTATTACTACAAACCGGGAACTGATGGAGGCCAGTAGAGGATTTTCAAAATGTATTGCTCGGAATTCATTGATTAGTTTCCAACACTTTTTTTTTCCTGATGACTGATTTCTAAATCAAATTGGTTTATAGTTCAATTGTTCCTTTTTAGTCTTTCTTGAATAGCATTAGAACATTTTCTAACTTCCAATCAGGTGTGACCATTTCAGAGTCGAGGAGGTTTGAAAATCTTGATCAGTGTTTCCACTGTCACTGCTTTTAGAACCTGAGGACACTTGGGACAATCGAGCAACGAGGAATAGGCAATAAATGCTGGTTTAGTCAGCCACTCTCACATGCCATGAATGAGTTCAATCCCAATTGATGGGCAATCAGATTCTGAGGATTTATTGAATTTTAGTCATGAGAAACCACCTCACTCTCTATTAGATCGTAGGTTATCCACTATTTCTGGTATGTTACTTCCATCTTCTGTGAAGACCGATGTAGAATTGAACAACATCTGTCATTTCCATAATCCTCATGATTTCTGCTATATTTAATGACTTATTCTTTTTGTATACACTTGTAAAAGTTCTAGCAGTGTAACATGCAATTTTAGCCAATTTACTTTTTGTTCTCATCTTCAATTTTTCAGTTGGCCTTTTATAGATGTTATACTTTATTTCCAATCGTCAGGCTTAGTACTCTTTGCAACATTAGAAATCTCTTTTGATTTAACACTTTCCATACCTTCCCTTTTAAGGCATAGATGGACCTTTTTTGGCACAGGTTTTGTATTTTAATGAAAGTTAATTTTGTTGAATTGTTTTAAATGTTCCCCAATGTTTATTTGTCACCATACATTTTTTTTTTAGTCTATTTACCCAATCAATCTCAGCAACTCACCTCACATATGTAATTGGTTTTGTTTAGTTTATGATTCTTGGTTGGAACTGGAGTATGTCAAACTTAATATGGAAACTTTGGTTTCTTTTCCCCCATACAATCTTTTATTATTACATTACTAATTTTAGCTGTGCTATTGTATAATTTGACAACTTTCTCCTATTCATTTCACAACACATTGTAGAATGTTTTGAGGAATGTCACAAAAACAAACTCTTCTAATTCTCAATTGTTTTGTCTAGTTTATATGAAGTTTGCTCACTGTCTTTCTAGCAACCTCCATTATTTTGTTTGTTTCATGCTCTCCAACAGTATAACTACTGTTTGGGAACTTTGATGCTCCCATCAGTTTTTCTTTTATTCTTGTTATTCCAAATCTCCAACCTCCACTTTCTGATCTCCTCAGCCAAGATCCACTCTCTCTTTAATGTCCTATAAATTCTCTTGTCTTGTCTTCCCCCTAAATATTGTGCATTTTGGTATATTTAATTCATACCCTTGGTCAGCTTGTAACCATCTGTCTAATGGTGATTAGATCGAAAGCAATTATTTTTATTGTGCCACTAGTTCATCTATCTTGTTATGCTTAACACCAATGTTATGATCATTATTTACATAGACTTCATTCATTGATCCACAATTTTATTAATCTCTCAGCCCCACTCTCCTTGTCTTTGCTTGAATCACTATACTGGGCTTTATTGCCTCCACCGTTCTCCTTTAAATTTCTATGTATTCTTTCACCTATCCTTTTTTGTCCTTTTTAATTCAAACACCTATTCACAGACCTGGTATAAAATTTGCTAGAACACTGATCACAGCCCAATTTAATTGGAGTCCCATGGAACAGCTCCCTCTTTCCCTAGTACTGGTGCCAGAGCTGGATGAATTGAAACCCTTTCTTTCCGTACAATGCTTTTGAGCCCATGTGACCCATGCTTGAATCTGCTTCCTCTGAGGCCAATTCAAGTGTGACTCTGATTTTTAAAAAAATCAGAGCATTAGCTAGTGAGGTTTCGCATTTAATTTAGACTCTAACTCTTCAAATTCTTACAGGAGAGCATTATTTCCTAGTTTTTACCAATGTTATTCATGCCTATGTTGAATGGCAACTGAATTGCACTCTCTCCAAGTAGAATAACATTTGCAGCCTTTAATGAACTGGAACACCTTTAATAGCATAAAGTCAGAAATTCTTGTTCAAAAAGCTAAAATTGGGATGTTATGCAATGGCATTCTGCCAATATAATACAAATTGAGTCAAGAATTTCTGACTAGCTAAGAGGCATTCATGATTGCTTTGCCATCTGTATCTACATGAGTGTCTAGCCATGTTAACAGTCTGTTTGTTTAAAACAAAATTTGAGAAAAAAAGTTGGTGAAATTACAAGAAAGAAATGGCTTCAGAGTTTTTTTTTTGGGGGGGTGGATGTAATGAATGATCTTTCTACATAATCTTAATCTTTATTTTTGGATGCAGTCACATATGAACAATACCTACTTCCTCTTTTTGATTTTTAATTTGCTAACTTCAAATGTTTTATTCTGTCTTTCAGCATCCTGGTGGTGAAGAAGTGCTGAAAGAGCAAGCAGGAGGTGATGCATCAGAAGCTTTTGATGACGTTGGGCATTCTACTGATGCACAAGAGATGACAAAAAAATACTTCATCGGAGAACTTCATCCCGTGAGTCCTGTCACTTCTGAGATTTGTAACATTTCTTTCAAAGTTAAATTTAGAAATCCTGAGGTTATTGATTCTTATCAATTGAATAATAATAATGTAGCACCAGTTTTAAAAAAAAAAAACACAAATTGTCTAACAGCACTTTGGAGGCATGGAAGGAGAAGCAGTTGGATGCCAAGCCAGAGTGGGGGGTGCATTAAAAGGAATGGTCAATGAAGACCTTTTAAAGAGGCCTTTCAGGAAGGAGAAAAAAATCCCAGAACAAATGTTCTAGGTAGCTTGAGCAATATTCCCTCCAATTCCCCTACATTGTGCCTGTCCTGTTTCTGATAGCGTGGTCCCTGTAATTAGCCAGCGGCTACTCATGCACACATCTTAAAGGAACTGCTACTCGGGTGGACCTTTTTAAGCCCACTGTGTGGCAGTCTTTGATTTATGTGGTTGTGCACCCTACAACATAGAAGGAACAGCTATTAGTAGCAGAAATGATGGATAGGATGTTCACGAGGCCAAAGTCAGTGGAAAAGAGTTTGGGAAATGGAATTGTTCACACTGGATGATGTTATATGAATAGGTATAAGCAAAACTATAAGGATTTAAAGATAGCTGAAAATTTTAAATTTTGAGGCTTCGTATCCCATTGTTCCTATGTAGCAAGGATAGGTGTGATGGGTGAGTGAAAACTGATGTTGTAAGATATGGGCAGCAGATGTTTGAATGAGCTGATTTAATGGAGGACAATGGATGGAAATTTTCATGGATTTCTAGCCAGGTAAATCTTGGGGATTTGACATTTCAAAGACCTGGACGAAGGTTACAAATGTTCCATCTCTAGAATATTCAACATTTTCACCTTGCCATCTCACTTTGACTGTTTCCATTATTTTACTCCCTTGCTATGTATCATTTGATTAGAGGAGGTTTTGTTCCTTTTGTCTGTTCTAAATGTACTTTCAATTTTATTCCTGTTCTCTGGTTTTATTTTTTTTTGTTTTATTTTCTATTTAACATCTAATTATAGACCTCTAATTAGTTCATTAAACATCTATCATTTCAATTCTTTCTTTTCTCCTCCTTCACAATCTGCTAATTTATCTGTTCTTCTAAATTTAACCCAACTTACTATTTTAGTGCTGTCTGCAAATTTTTAAGGGCATGACCAATTAAATCCAAGTCCAGCCATTTGTAATATGCTATACATGTTTTCAGAACTGGAGTCTGCTAAAAGATCTTCAGGAGTTTGATTTTAGTATTGGGTATGTGAAAATAGCAGTTTTGAGCAAATCTCAAATGGAGAGGCAGGTCTAAGTCCCAGACAAATCAGATTAAAACAATGGTTCAATAAATTCTTTTTATGTGAAATCATCTGAGGAATAACTGTGGGATTTCAAAAATGAAGTTTTGATAATGTATTTTATTTGTCTTATTGCAGGATGATAGAGGAGCTTTTGTGAAGCCACCGGTAAGCTTTATTAGAATAAAAGCTATTACTTTTCTTGTATGGTGTAGCAGTGTCACTGACTTATCCAGCATTTAATGACCATCCCTAGTTGCCCTTGAAGTTGGTGTGAGCTGCCTTCTTGAATTGCTGCAGTCCATGGAGCGTAGTGACTCCCACAATGCCACTAGGAAAGGAGTTGCAGGATTTTGACCTAGCGATACTGAGGAACCTTTCCAAGTCACGTGGCTTGGAGGAGAACTTGAGGGTGGTGTTCCCATTGTATCTGCTGCCCTTGTCCTTCCAGCTGGAAGTGGTAGTGGATTTGGAAGGTGCTGTCAATGGAGCCTTGAAGCATTACTGCAGTACCTCCATGGGTTTGTACAAACTGCTTCTATGCAGAACGGTGGTGAGTAGGTGTATGTTTGAGAATCTGGCACTAATCAAATGGACTGCTTTCTTCTGGATGGTGTCCAGCTTCTTGAGTTGTTGGAGCTGCACTCATCCAGGAAAGTAAAGGCTGTTTCATTGCTCTCCCGAAATAGGGGTGGCACAGTAGTTCAGCGGTTAGCACTGCACCTCAAATTCACAGGCAACTGTCTCTGTGGAGTTTGTATGTTCTCCTCACCTGCATGGGTTTCCTCCAGGTGCTCCGTTTCCTTACACAATCCAAAGATGTGTAGGTTAGGTGGATCGGCTGTGGGAAATGCAGGGTTTCAGGAATAGGGTAGGTGGGGTGAGTCTGGGCGGGATGCTGTTTGGAGGGTTGGTGTGGACTCTGAGCCAAAAATGATTCTATGGTCTATGACTTGTGCCATGAACATAGTGGGCAGGGAACAGGGTGTCAAGAGATGAGTTACTCGCCATAGAATTCCCAGTCTCTGACATGCTGTTTAGCCATGTAGATGCTGTGGCTACATCAGTTCAGTTTCTGGTCAAAGGTAACTCCCAGGATGGTGATAGTAGGGAAATTCAGTAACCGTGATGTCATGGGGCTCTTGATGGCAATGGTCATTTGCTTGGCAAGTGCTGTGTGATTTTTAACAGTAATACTATGTGTTTAAAATACTGATATTTTGCAAGCAGTTGACAGATTTTAAGGGATCTTGTTCCAAGGTAGTTTGCATTCCTTGTCCCTGAGATATAGTCATAATCATACAGAAAAGAAACAGGCCCCTCCGCCCACCATGTCTATGCTGACCAACAAACATCAAGCTGTACTAAACCATATATTCGAGACTCTGTGTGTGTGTTAGTTATTTCCCTGCTCACAGGATCCAGATGTGGAACAAGTAATGACCAAGCACTTCACAAGTACAATCTCTGTCTCTTCAGTACCATGTCTTGAAAGGGTATTGGTGACCTTGCATGTCTGTGCTGGTCTGTAGATATGCATTGCTCTTGCATTTTCAGAAGTTGACTAGGATTGTCTCCTGTTCCTACTGCCTGCTTTTGTTTTTTGAAAGGATTTATAAATTAATACTCAACTGTACTATGGATGCAAATTCCTTGGAAGTCAAGTCCTAGTGTGGGACTCAAACCCAGAGCTTGTGGCTCTGGGGCACAGGCACTATCCAGCATGCCTCAAGGTCTCTGCACATCTACAGCTGTTTTTTGAACAAATTTAATTTTGAGTCTTCTGACTTGATATTTGCTTTAAAAACAAACATACTCCTAGAGGGACAGACTGCCTTTTCTAATGAAAGTGGCTTTTCAGAAACTGTAGATCTGACCAGTCAGAAGTTGGTCTAGTTTGGAATTAGCTTTGGGATGTAGATGGCATCTCCTCCATATAAGCTTCCTGACTATTTCAGGACATTGAAGTGATCTAGGACTGGAGTCTTTTAGGAAGCTACAAGAGCAGGTCAGAAGCTAAGGATCATGGGGAGTATAATCACTAATTTTCCAATTTATGGTCAAGTAACTGAGGCTGAAAAGTGGTTTGCACTTTTATGGATCAGGAAATGCATGCCTAACAGTCAGCAGCTTCCTTCTCCCAGTCAGTATTTCTATGTTTTAAGACTGGTCAGAAGTTGGTCTATTTTGGAAATAGCTTTGGAATGTAGATGACACCTCCAAATGAGTCGTTGGGTCAGTTGGGCAGAATAGCTTCTTACTGTGTGTTAATTCTGTATGTACTAGTCAGCCTAGTTCCCATAATTTTTTTTTTAAAAAGGAGTTTGTATTGGTTGTGGTTCACATACAAGGCATTCCCTACTTTTCAATGAAATTGATGTCTTCACCCACCCCAAAAAATAAACTTCCATCTACACAAACAACTTTGCATACATGCAGCAGATGAGTAACTTATCTTACGTGGAGTAGACATTACATCGGTGATTTGCACTCGTACTGTTGGGAAATTGCATTTAACACACTATGTAGGGTACAGTCAGAGCTGCAGGTAACGGGAGTCCAAAACTGCAGAGTGTAACTAGGTATGTTGCCAGGACCTTTTATTGCCACAAGACCCGCTGCAAATTGTTCATCAGACCTAGGGTGTTTGCAGTTTACACAACAATATACAAAGGGGCAAAATATTCCCAGTTCTGGAAATCAGAACTAAAAATTGAAAATGCTGGAAATAACCATTAGGTCAGACAGCATCTGCAGAGAAAGAGGGATTTAATTGTCCAAGTCAGTGATCTTTATTGTCAGCACTGGGAACATGTGTAAGATGCAACAGGTTTTGAATAAGTGATGTTGGAGAGGCTAGGAAGAATGATGAAAGGGAAACAAAGGTGATGAGCAAAAGTTCAAAAAAGGTTTTAAGGAAGATTCAGTGAAAAGATTTCAAAGAATGACCAAAAGGAGTGGCAATTATGGGTAGTTTGATAGGCTGCCTCTCTCTTCCTTCATAAAGCCTCTTGCTGAAAGACTCCAGTGCTAGATCACTTCAATGCCCTGAAATGGTCAGGAAGCTGATATGGAGATGCTATCTGCATTCCAAACTAGACCAACTTCTAATCTGCCTTACAAAACACTGGGAGGAAGAAACTGCTGACTGCTAGGCATGCATCTCCTAATCCATCTAAGCGCAAGCCACTTTGAACCTCGGTTACTTGACAACAAAGTGGATTGATGGTAGCACAAGGAAGGAGAAGTAAGTTGGCGGAAGCAAAAGGAGGAGGAAAAACATATGGGTCCAAAATTGGGCTTCTGTGTCATCGGAAGAGTCATCAAGCCTGACAGTCATCACCCTTGATTCCAAGGAATCATTGACATTTGCCTTGCAAGTAACTTGATTATCTTGCAATAAACTACATATTGCTTAAGACAAGAGTCTCTGCTTGTTTGACTGCAAGTGGTTTTTCCCTTACAATGCAGGTGATGGCAGCAGTCATCTGTCACTGGGTTAGAATCCTAGGAGTTCCTTCCTGAGGGCATTGTGGGCCTAAATTCAACAAAGGGACTGTAGCAGGTTCAAGAAGTCCGCTCACTGCCAGCATCTGCTGAGCAACTAGTGATGTGCAATAAATACTCTCCCAGTCAGCGACTCCCCCACCCTGTTAAAAATTTCTTTAAAAATTCATACATTTCCAAATGCATGAGGAGCAGGTAGTTGGAGGGGGAAAAAAGCGCAGCTGACTACTTCCTTCATGTTACTCTCTCTTTTTTGAAAGTGAAATCTTGCTGCTTGAGACTATTTATGCTCCTGCATTGACAACTTGGCCTTTCTGTTACAGGAGCCTAATATTGTCGTAGTGGAGTCTGAATACAGGTATGACATTTTGTTAACAAATATCCTTTTTACTTAATGAAGTCAACATTGTGTTCTCATAAAGCATTGGTTTTCAAACCTTGAGCTAAGTTTGAACCTTAGTTGTTTGCCAGTGACCAATAGAATGCATTCTGACCTCATGGACTTTCAGAAATGAAAATTGACAAGGTTCCTTGGTTAAATTAGAGAGAAACTGATGACTTCGTATAATTCAACAATTTTTGCTCAATTCTATTTGATTGAATTCTAGTAACTTTAAATTTTTTTTCCCCATTTGCTTTTGTACTGTACTTTCCTGGTAAATTGAGACTATTATTGTATTTCACAACTGTCCTTGCAAAAGCATTTCCATTACTGCCTCCTCTTCCCTCCCCAATTCTACCTTACTGACTTTTTAAAATATTTGAGGCCAGTTCACCAACACTGACCCTGGAAGTACACCTGAGGAAGAAGGGGTGTGATTTTTTTCCTCTGACAATTGTACCAATATTGTAAATGTATTTTTTTTAAGTATATGCACATTCAGTAGCATTTGCTTGTAAATGTGAAGGTGAATTCGTACTGGCTGTTTCTGGTTAAAGTGAAGATATGTATCCATTAGCGAGTGTTTGAAAGCTAGTAAATCCAAGTGATTCTTCCACTGCGTAGAAGCAAATTACTGCAGAGCTGATAAGTCATCTAAACTGAACGTTAGCTTGCTTTCTCTCCATTGATGTTGCCTGACCTGCTGTGATCTCCAGCATTTTTTTCTTTCATTCTTCCACGACAATGCCTTTGCCTTTGATTTTAATTTTTGTTTTTTTTTCGCAGTTGGTGGTCCGGTTGGCTAATTTCAGCAGCAGTCGGCTTGACTGTGGCTCTCCTATACCGCTATTTTGCAATGGATCACTGAACGTTCTGTGGAAGAGATGATGGAACTATTTCATGTCAAATTGCAGTCTAGTACAAATGAATTCTAAAACAAAATAAATGTAACAATTATCTTACTTGCATTGAAAGAACCTGGGTAGGAATTCTCATCCCTTGGTGTAAAATGAGAGCGAAGCATACCAATTGTGCTGTGAGGTTTGCTTTGCCTAAGCTACACATCTATAGGAAACAGACTGTAGGTGCCCCAGCACCTAAAACAGTTACTAGGCCCTGTGTTGATGACAGACTTGATGCATGTTGAAGAACCATTTGAGAAATTAGTTCCCTGTGATCAATTATCTAGCTGTCGCTAGCTGCAAATTGGTATTTAAAAAGATATGAACAAAATACTTCTCTGGTGTAAAAGTTGCCCCTCTGCCACCATCCAACCTCCAGTGCCACTGTACTGGTAATCTTGCACCATTGTCTCACTACCTGTTCCCCACTCCAGCACTGCTCCAGGAACTTACTTGAGGGCCACTGCTGATGACTCAAAGTTAATTGAGCTGTTCTTGGGCATAAAACAAATGCTGCTACCCCTTCCTGAAGGTGTAGGAAAAGCCTGACTGGTTTGGATTTGGGCATGAAATTGTTTAAGTGGAAGGACTTTGGGATCCTGCTGATTTATAGATGTGAATTGGACTAGAAGCTTATTCATTTTTGGCATTGAGTTGTTGTATTGCTCCACTTGAGAGGCAGAATATTATATCCTTGTCGTAGATAATGCCCAGATTCATTTCCATGCTTTTCATGTCCAAATAATATCAAAACAATCCTTTGCATTGGTTTATGCTCTACACCTCATCAAATGTACTTTGTCCACTACAATACAACTGTGAGGTTAATATTCAGGAAATTGAAACAAGACATGGCAGCTGATTCTTGAACTTCCCAAGAAATACTACTACAACTCTGCATGACCATTTTTCCAGAAGCCTCTTGCATTTGGCAGCTGCACTGCGTTGGTCACCTTTCCATGTTGTGTGGGCTGTTCTACCACTAGCAAAAAACGCCACGACGCTCCCAAATCTCCAAGTTGGGGTAATTCATGTAACTTGGCTTCCTGCCTGTATAGGAGCGATCCACATTCCCAGGCCTAGCCTGCGTAAGTTCTCCAGCAATGGAGACTGTCTGCTGCCATCTGCACCCACCTCTAAGTCTGCCAAACATGCAGCTGAGATAAACTGTGCCAAAAAAATGTCGAAAGCAAATGCAGATTATCTTGGACCCAAAATGCTTGCTCAACATGAAGTTGCTTTTTCTTTGTTAGTCATAAATATTTGATGTTTTACCCTTGTTAGTGAATTACAGTGCAGTTGGGTTAGGACTCTGACTGTACATGTGTGCTACCAGCAATAGTGCTTGTGTCACTGTACAATTGGAAAATGATTTTCTGAAGATGCCAGTTTTTCCTTTGGTGTGAAGAGAACCGGCAAGTTTGTCAATTGATTTCCCATCACTGTATTTAATTAAGCAAGGTGGCTTAGGTGCAACAATCATTTCTGTCCAAATCTCATCATTGCTCCCATCAGCAAGTTTCTTAGTGAATTGTGAAGATTTCTGATGTGACTGACTGACTGACTATGCATTTTGTATAATGTGAAAAGAAGCCATTTCAAATGAGCTAATACAATGTTGTGTTTTATTGCACCTGTTGGAAAATATACTTTTCAATATTGAAACAATATTTGATTACTCAGTTACACAAATGCATATAGATAAATTATACAATCAAAACTCCTTTACCTGCCTTTTTATTGACCAAAATTTAAATTTGAGGTTTTTTGCATGCAACAATTCAAAAATGTGCTTTATTTCTCAGATTTCCTCCCTTGCCACGTTGTTGAGACCTTGCGGAGTTTATTCACCACAAATATCCTCAGCTACATTCCCTAAGTAGCTGTTGCTTAGTTGAAAGAGTTGATGGTGAATTTTGATGTTTAACTGTGAAGTGGGAGAGCATGATGCCAATAGTGTGGGGTTCCAATCCCGCACTAGTTGCGAATACCACGAAGGACTCTACTTCCTAACCTCTCCCCTCTCCCGAGGTGTAGTGGCCCTCTGGTTAAATAACCATCAGTCATCACACTCGCTCTGAGAGCAGCCCTCTGGTCTAGTAAGACCACGGTGACTTGACTTGAAAGACTGGGAAATAAATTCAGGGCCTCCATGTCATCACTGAAGTCCCATGGGAGAATTTACACTTCATGTTTGAACCAGAAACAAGATTTTTGGTGTTGTGGCAGAGCTGATTTTATTGTGAGCTGACACCTCTAGCTCTAAGCAAGTCCAACTGAATGTGACAGTTACCACTAAATTAAGAGTTTCTGTTCTAGATGCAAAATGTTTGACTGTCTCAGTCTCATTACACGTTCACTATTCTCCTTTTGTAATGGGTTACTTGAACAAAATATAGTTTCTCTTCAATAGGCCTGTACGTAAGTTGCTCTATTGGAGCACAGTGATTAACTGTACTCCTCCATCCTCTAGGCAATGGTAGAGTTTGTGAATGGCATTTTCAATGCGTCTTACATTCTGTGCAAATCACCAGGTGAAATTGCATCTGCAGTGAAATTGCAATCTGTTAAAATCTGACTCTATTCCTGTTGTGTTGAATCATCAGCCAGAGATCATCACCACCAGCAGAATATCAAATTAATAGAACAAAGAAATGTGAATTCTGGAAAAGTGAAGCAAAAATAGAAATTAAACTCATCAGGTCTGGCAGCATCTGTAGAGAGCAAGCAGAGTTAACGCTTCAAATCCTACTGAACAAGTGTCTGATAAACTGAACTTTCATCTAAGCTAAAAATGAAAGAACTGTGGATGCTGTAAATCAGGAACAAAAATAGAAGTTGCTGGAAAAGCTCAGCATGTCTGGCAGCATTTCTGAAGGAAAAAATCAGAGTTAACGTTTTGGGTCTGGGTTCTGAGGAAGGATCACTGGATGCAAAATGTTAACTCTGATTTTCTTCGCAGATGCTGCCAGACCAAGTGAGCTTTTTCCAGCAACTTCTGTTTTTTGATTCATCTAGGCAACTTCGGATTAGCAGAGCCTCAAAATTTGGGCAATATTGAGTCTGCTTCCTTGTTCGTACCAAGCCAACATGAGTGATTTAAACATTTATGTGCCTAAAGAGGAAAACCTGGGTCAGATTTCAAGTATAAACAAAAATAGCAGAAAGATTCAGAGCATTTTCCAACATATTCTGATACATCCTTTCTTTCAAACTTGTAACTTGTCAATGTCATGACCTGGCTGCTAAGTTTGGCCAAAGTGATTGGGAACGTACATCATCAGATTTTAATGACTTTAGATCATGAACTCTATTCTCCATTTTGATTGTTCTTTTCTTTTTTTTCTATCCCCAGTGTCTGTACCTTACTGCTGTGTTCTGTTAATAACACCACCTCTGGCTATATGCTTCCCAACAACCATTACCACTCCCTTCACCTTTTTTCTTTGACTGTGGCATCTTTGATCTCTAATCTCCCTTGCCCTCTAACCTCTCCCTGACCTTTACCTTTTTTCCATTTCCTCCTCCTAACTATTTTAGCAATACAAAACATCTCATTTATATTTTCTTTCAGTTCAAAAGAGTCCTATTGGACTCAAAACATTAACCATGTTGTAATAGCAGGTTCTCATCCCCCAACTCCACTATCATAAGATTAAACTCTTGACCATGAACATAAAAGTAGATTTTTTGAGTAGTTTTTTTTTTGTCAGTGCAAACTATATGATTCTATGCTATTAAAGTACTTCTTCCAGTTACCAAGATTGAGTTAAATATGTCCCCTGTATTTAGGCTTTCAACAAGAGCAGCAGGTTTGGGTGTGGTAGGCAGTGAAGTGTAAGCTTACAAAACTAGAGAATATGGCAGTATTACAGGACAGTTATTTGGATAATGATACCCAGAGTGGGACAAGAAGGGTCAGAATAACCATAGAAAGAAAAAGGATCAAAAGGCTGCATTAATGGCTCTTGGATGTGCACATTGTTTGGAACAAAATTGATGCATTAAAAGCACAAATACAGGTTAAAGGGTATGATCTTATAGCCATTACAAGGTTACAGAGAGATCGGCAGGCAGATTTCAAATGGGTGGAGATAAATGAAAAGGGAAAGATTCACAGTTGGATCTGTGGTGCATTGTTCTAGGAAACACTCCTGAATACACGTTATAGATTTTTCCTTATGGCTACCTTTATGGCACGTGAAGGTTAAAGTCACTCATGATTAATGTACTGCCTTCGTTATGTGCCCTCATCATCTAACTTGTTCTCTGTTCCACTATATAGCTACTGTTGGGGAAGAGGAGGATGTTCTCCTACCAGTGTTTCCTTTCCCTTTTTATTTCATAGGTTGCATTCAGGACAGTTTCTTAGAACAAAATATTGTGGATCCAGCCAGGGATCAGGCTATTTTGGTTCAGGTAGCATGTAATGAGACAGATTTAATAATTGATATTAGCATAAAAGATCCTCTCAGAAACATTGACTGTAACAAGGTAGTATTTAGCATCCAGTTTGAAAGAGAGGATCTTTGGATCTGAAACCTCTGTAATTGCCCTTACTTAAGCTTGGCACAAAGGAATGAGCATAGAACCGGCTGGTGTGGACTGGGGAAGAAGTGTAGCAACAGGGTCAGTTAAGGAAATTTGGCAGACGTTTAAGAAAAAGTTCATGGCTCACAATAAGGTTATATTCCAAAGCAGATTTGAGGAAGGGGATGAGCTAACCATGGTTCTTCAGTGATGTTAAGGATAGCATCAAATTGAAATACAAACCATGCGATTAGACAAAGATTAGTAATAAGCTAGCGGTTTGGAAAAGTCTTAAAAACCAATAAAAGATGACCGAAAATGAGGGAGAAAATAAATTTTACTTGCAAGTTTACACTCAACATCGAGACAAACAGCAAGAACTTCTTTTTAATATATAAAAAGGAAGAGAGAAGCGCAAGTGAATATAGACACCTTAAGGAATGAGGCTGGGGAAATAATAATAGGGAGCTAGGAAATGACAGAGAAGTAGATAGGACAATACGGCGACTACAGAGTAGATCAGAAGGTAGAACTATCGCAAGAAGTAACTGCCCTCTTGGATCTCCAAAGCCTGTTTACCATCTACAAGGCTCAAGTGAGGAGGGTGATAGAATACTGTCTACTTTCTTGGGTGAGTGCAGCTCAAAGAATAATTGAGTATGACACTAATCAGGGCAAAGCGGCCTCATTAATCAGTACCACATCCACTCCCTCCACCACCAATGGTCAGTAGCAACAGTGTGTATTATCTACAAGAAGCACTGCAGAAAATATTAGAACCTCCCAAATGTATGAGCACTACTGTCTAGAAGGACAAGGGTAGTAGATGTATGAGAACACCACCACATACAAGTTCTCTTCCAAGCAACTCGCCATTCTGACTTTGAAATATATCACCATTTCTTCAATATTTCTGGGTCAAGACCCTGGACATCCCTTGCCTAATAACATTGTAAGTCTACCTACAGCACATAGGCAGCAGCAGTTCAAGAAGGCAGCTCACCAGCACCTCTCCTAGGGTTGCGCAATAAATGGAGGTCTGCCTGTGTTACTCAAATCCTATAAAAATAAAAAAAAATTGAATACCTTTCATCAGTTTTCACAATAGATGACACTTAACTTTCTTATATTACCTGGTGATTGATTCCACTCTGCCTCCTCCCATTGTGTCTAGCACTTCAAGAACCCAATGTCGAGCCAAATTAATTAATTCAAATTTTAAAAAAAGGGCTTAGTGTACATAATACAGAAGAGGTTAGGGGTCCTAGCAACATCCTATTTCAGAGGAACTGTCTGCCAAGTGCAACGAGACGTGGGTATCCCTGTACACTAGTTGCTGAAAGTAAGCAAGCAAGTGCAGCAGGTGGTGAAGGAGGCAAATAGTATATTGGTCTTCATAGCAAGAAGATATTACCACTGGAGCAGAGTGAGATGTCTTGCTGCAATTATACAGGGCTTTGGTGAGACCAGGTGTGTGCCGTTTTGGTCTCCTTATCTGAGGAAAATGTTCTGTCTTTGAAGAGATTGCAGTGAAAGATTACCTGGGATTGTAGGGCTGACGTTTGAAGAGAAACTAAATTGGTTAGGACTGTATTCAATGGAGTTTATTAGAATAATGGTGTATCTCACAAAAACTGATAGAAATATAAGAAGATTAGACAGGTCAAATGCAGGAAGGATGTTCCCAATGACTGGAGAGTTCAGAACTAGGAGTCACAGTTTAAGATTATGGTGTAGACCATGTAGGACTGAGATAAGAAATTTCTTCACCCAGAGAGTGGTGAGTCTATGGAATTCTCTGCCACAATAAAGTTAGACCAAAACATTGAATATTTTCGAGAAGTTAGATATGTTTCTTGGGGCTAAAGGGATCAAAAAAATATATGGGGCAAAAGCAGGAACAGCGTACCTAGTTGAATGACCAGCCATGATCATGTTAAATGGTGGAGCAGGCTGAATCTTATTTTCTGTATTTCTAAATGATTCAGTGTAATAATGGTACAGGAATTCATCTAAAGATGTGAAAAAATTCTTAATATCCTTTCCAGACAAACTGGAATGGAGTTAACCTGGTTAATTATAACACTACCGAACTTTTAGTTCAGTGTTATTATATGGAGGGACCACATTTCATCTCTTTTCTCTAAAATTTCACATGGAATGAGGTTTGTCACAATAGGAAAGCTGAATTTC